GAAAAATACAATGTAATTATCACCAACTGAACAGCTGATAAATGAAATGACAGAGTGAAATACAGGAGTTTCACATGACAGAAAGTTCAGAGAGGGTGAATTTGCTACGAATTTTGAACAAATGAAAAGCGGAGACCTCACCATAAGCAAAGCCTCTCATCTCCCCACCCCTGAAAATTCCCTGCTCCCACCATAATCCATCTGCCATCCCATCACAAAAAGAGCTACAACATCTGATACCCAGCAGCAGAGTTGTTTGGATGTAACAGAGAGGAGCGTGTCCAAAATGAAGAGCAGCACTGCTTTGGAGCTTCACACACTTACAGGATGATGTTTCCATGTTGTCCCGTTTATTTGAAGTTTCCAAGGACAGCCATCACACCAGCATGAATTCAGCAAACACAGCCTTTTATGAGCTAAACTGACAAGGACAGTATTTTTAACACACCTGTGATGGGCAGATTTCAGAGATAAGCATGAGTGGAAGAGACTATTGCAAGCTAGTGAAAAATGGGAATTCCCCTCTGGAAAGAACTGCACGTAAGGGACATGGAATAAATATTTTTATGTTATTGTTTCTTAGTCTGTCAGTGGTTCCATTTTGAATCAGCCTTCAGTCATTTAAACCTCAGATGGGAAAGCCTGGTTGGACCTGACAAACGAGCAAGCCAGGTCTTGGGTCAAGAAGAGTCTTATTTCCTTACACCCCAACCCAAACACATCCTGAGTTCAGTATCTTCAGCTTCTTTTGAGATAGAGCTAAAAATCTTGGATTTTGAATCTTTCTTTTGTTCGTATGTAATTGCAGTTACCATGTTCCCCTAACTCCTCCCTGTTTTAGCACTATAATTCCATGATTCCTGCAACCCTGATGGAGAAGGCAGCCAAGAGCACACAGAGCCCAGTGCCTCTGTTCCCAGTGCTCCTCCAAACTGTAAATACAAATATATTGATACAGCAGCTGAAGTTTGGCAAAGCTGTTCAGGAATGCACAAAGGAAACGCAGTATAGAAATGTAAAATCATTAAAAGAATGTTATTATGGTTATTATCTTAAAAATGCACTTAAGCCAACAGCCCCTCCCTGCAGGTACCTCACTTGATCTACAGCACACATGGATCCCACCAGACTCCTCTCCAGTGCCAGTATTTTCTGTTCCTTCCTTGTTCTACCTGCCAAGTTGTTCTAGTTACAGGGGCTGGGACCAGTTTATCACTATGTGGGTATAACCAAAACTGTGTATTCTGCACCTTCTATGTAATTTCTGATGGACTGTTAATAAATGCATTGCTTGCAGCAGCTGCCCAGGGCACACCTGACACCTCAGGCTACAAGCTGGGTGTTAAAGAACCCAGTGAGACAGGGGAGTGTTCTTTTGTTTTCACACCAATGTCTCAGCTGTGATAACTCCCCTCCAGGGAGGCATCAGCCCCTTCACACCCAGCCTGAGGGGTCATCTCTGCTCATGGGCCATCCTGGACAGGCACAATAGGCAGCTGCAACACCCAGACCATCAAAGATTCCGAAAATGTCCCGTGACTCACAGAGTTAAATCACCCACCATGAAACTCCCCGTCCTGGGGGAGGTGCTGGACATCCCCACCTGAACTTGAGCTTATATAAACTTTGGGTTTTGGGACTGCTGGCACCAGTCCTCAGATCCAGAGGAGGACCAGAACTCCCACAGGACTGCCACTGCTCCCCTCGACAAGACTGTGATCATCACTCCAACAGGACTGCGACCATCATCTGGACCAACAGGTTTCCTTTCCTGTTACTTTGCACCCAGGGGGGCCACGTGGTGCTCAGCACAGGGACTAATGAACACCCTTCTGTTCTTGCCCCAGGGTGCGGGATTATACATCTGTCTTTGGGGGTTAAAACCAGTTTTTTCTCTGTATCATTGCACTTATTGTAATCTTCTTAGTAAATTGTAACTCTGACTTGTAATCTCTCTCGAGTTGGGTTCATTTCTCCCGCTGGTTTACTTTTAAACCAGCACACAAGTCAAAAAGAAGCAACAAAGGCTGGTGTTGTTCTTGGGGAAAAAATGAGTTCTGGAAGAATAGTGGGCAGTCTCCTTTCATGCACACACAGGCTTGTGTTCTACACGGCAAGTTAAGCTATGCAAACACGTTGTAGTGCACTGTCTCTTCAATGGAAAGCATCCCACAGAATGTGTGTGGGTTCTGCACATGGGAAAGGAGGCTGGGAAGGGTTTCAGAAGAATCCCCTCCAATGGTAACTCGCTGTGTGGCTGCAGAGCCAGGAGAACTCTGCTGCACAGAGGTGTGTGAGCTGCCCACGGCCTTCCATTGTTACTGGGAAGGTGGTGACTTCCTCTGCATTGAATCTTTGCCCTTATTTTGCTCTTCCTTCCTGATGATAAATCCACTTTTTATTATTCCGACCAATTCAACGTTACTTTTAGAAATTTTGTCACTCATTTAGATTTCACCCAGTGAGTCAGGCGGAAAAAATGTGCTCTCAAGCTGAGAGACAACCCTCCCATTTAAAATCCCTCAGCCAAGAGCACCTCCCAGGCAACATCCTCCAGCTGTTCTCAGAGACAGGAGTATGTTCACCCTCTCAGTTCCCACCTAGGCCACTCCAGAGCATCTCCAGCAGGAAGGACCATCTATCTGCCCCAAACAGCAGCCCCTGGCTCTTCCCAGGACTCCTCCCACTCGGCTCACCCAGCACGTCCCTCAACCACACAGACCTCTGGATGTTCAGCAGATTAAGATTTTCCTGTGCCAGCAGAGAAATCTATCAAGTAGCATTGTTATCCCTGTTCCTGGGCCTCTGATTGTCACTTTTATCAGCTAAATAATAGTAATTTGGATGTAGAAACAATTATGGGAACCTTTTTCCTCAGCTGAAGCCATTAGCCCCAGCAGATTTACAGTTAGTGCTCTTTGGACAAAGGCTGGATGCATACAGAAGCTGCTCTGCCAGGCAGTGATATACAAGAGAACAAAGAAAACATCACCTTCCAGCTTTCTAAAACTGTTTCCTCAAAAATGATGGTGGTTGCAACCCATTTGTGTCTTCTCCTGACCTGCTGCATAACAACAAGCCAAGGTGGTGTATTTTCCTTAGTAAGGATGGGTAAGAGTTTGTGACTAGTATTGCTTTTTAACTTGTGCTGCTCATATTTCTGGCTCTAAAGTGCCCTACAGAAACCTAAAATCCCATTGCAGTGCCCCAGCTCCACAGCTTTTGCAAAACAAACTGGAACGGTCTTTTTCTTGTTCTCATTAGACACGTCAGTGAATCAGAGATCTGTAAGGGAACGTGCACAGGTTCAAAGAGAAAGGACTGCAGGGGCACAGAGAACAACAGCAAAAACATTAACAAGGGCACAGTAAACCTGAAAACTTGAAAGAAGAAAAACATTTTTCTTATAAACCCTTTCTGAGCTTCATTTGTCACCACTGCAGACAGATGGAATCTGCAAGCCCTCCCTTCCTGCCAGTGCAGCAGGAGACACTACCACAGCATAAAGCAACCCTGGCAACAAACCAGACAACTCCTGGAGATGGGAAGTCAATTAGGGAAGAACCCCAAAAGCCTACTGACTATCTGATGGATGCACTGGCTGAGCTGAAAGTGGTTGGGAGGCTCCTGAGGGCTGGCCTGACTGTCCTCTCACAAGAGACACAGGAGCCTTAGTGTGGATCTCAGATAGGAACTGCTACATCAATGCTGATCATTTTCTAAAATCTTGCCCTTAACCTCACAGAAACTAGGAGAGAATCCTTCCAGGGCACTGACTGTTCTCACACTGAAGTCTTAACACAGTCTATGATACATGGGTGGAATAAATACCTGACCTGGACTGATAAAGGGGAACAGGTGTATTTACAAGTTTCAGAAATGCAGGACTAATTTTTCTACCAAAAGTCACATAAAACTACTGTCAGATCTGTTTGCTCTCCTCTCAAGAACAGAATATGAAAGAACCAATTCGAACAAAACCACCACACATTTCAGATTTACCTTTGTTTTATTCATGCCAACTGAAAGAAACATGGTGATGTGTCATTTTTGACACCTGCAGTTACGTTACTGTTTCCCATCAGTGTAACCAAACTGAGGCAAATTCTATTGTACACAGGGTCAGGGAGGCTTTGAGAAGGGTACAAACACCTTCTTTCACTCTCTTGTCTCAAAAGACATTGAAACATCATCTTGGTGGGGTATTAAAGGTGTGGCAATTCCCCTTTATGCTTCTTAAACCTTTTGGTTTTAGTGGTTGGCTCCACTTCACCTACTGCTGCAAAGGGACAGAGCCTACACCAGGAGAGTGATGAGGAGCTGGGGGTCTTTTTACCACCACTTTAACTTTAAAAAGTAGCACAGTTCTGTATTTCTGACTAGTACACTGACCTGGGGAAGGCAGGTCTCAAGTATAGAGGTATTTCAGATGTTTAAAACCCACTTATGAACGACAGGCAGAGAACAATATGAGCAAGTAAGAACTTGCTTAAGCAAAGAAAAGAAGAAAATGGAAAAAGAAGAGTTTTTTCAGGAAATATTGATGTCTAGCAGAAATGAGCAACCTTCCTAGTGTACCATATGTGTCTTCCCATACATTTCAGAAGTCACACGAGGTACTTACCTTATAACTAAAATCAGGGACAGAGCTGCTTCTACAACCTGTTCCAAACTGCAGTTTTGCTGGGCATTGGGTGGAAAGACAGTTACCAATGGAGAAATATCCAAATCTACAAAATCTAATTTTGTTTTTCAATGAAGAGACGGGATGAATCTGCAGGAAGAAATTACAACTACCGAGTAAACCACCAGATACTAAAATTCAAACATTTTGCTAATGAACAAAGCTTACAAATTCACATGCTCAGCCAATGTTTGACTCTTGTAAAATTGCTCTACTTAAACTCTGGTAGTAGCAGAACAACATCCTTTATAATCCACACAAATTAACCTGTGGTTCCATATTAGGGAAATAAAAAGATGTCAGGAAGATGTGTTACCGCTCAACTCTGAGGCTTTTCATCCATTCCAGTGTCAACGGTTGGCTTGGCAACACCTTCTGGTAATAAATCCCACTGGAAACTTCAAAACTTCCTATTTCTCCAGACAAATTCGCTTCACCCCCTTCTCTTCATGACTGCTGGTCAGGACAGCAACATTTTCTGTGAAGGACAGAAAACAAGGTTATTTCCAACAAATCTCAAATCTGATTTGTTGTTAATTTTCCTTCTTCGGTGACTTCCTGATCTCTGAAATGCTGCAAGAGCCACGTCAAAGGACACTTGAATTCTTTTCGGAATTCTGGCTGCATAGCTGGCACACCAGACTTTTGTCTTCTTCCTTAACATTCCTGTTTGTTTTCTGTCCCCCAGGAGCACACTGCTGCAGTTTTCCTATAATTTTATCTGCTCAGCAGCCACACTGCAGCTTTGCAATGGAAGCACAGGTTGGAGGCACACGCTGAGGAATGGCCTGTAGAAGCCAGCTGGAATAATTAAGGACTTTTCCTAAGAAAAGGAGCAGGTAATCTTACTAATTTTCTTAATTTTTAATTACAACTTCGAAACAAAATATAAAGAGTGAGCTAGGAAATAACCTGAACTAGCTCTGTACATTACATGTTTTAACAGAACAAAAGCACAGGTTTATGTTACTTCTGTTCACATATTAAGCAGGTTATGATGGTTAGGCCAGTGAGTTACTCAAATCATCTTCACCTTAACCCAGCACTCCAGAACAGGCAGAGACATTTCCAGGCTTGTCTCCCAGCAGAGCAGCATTTGCTGTTTTTCTGAGAGTGTCAAGGCTGAAAGCTCCCAGAGCTGTCTGGAGTTATGCAAGGAGACAGCACTGTCTAGTTCTTTTGGGCTTTTGTTTGTGGGGTAGTTTTTTTTCTTCCTCCTCCTCATCCCTTCCCCTCTGGTATTCTGCTTCTGCGACTTCAAGTGTGAACACATTTGTGTATGACAAATTTGGCAGAAAGAAAAGCAAACTCAAATTATTCATATTATGAAAGCCACAGATAAAGAAGAGCAAAGCACTCAGACTTCTGTGCAAAGCAACCACAGCTTGGTGAGCCTGCACAGGCTGAGCACCATGACAAGCAAAGCCATCAACTGCTGAGCAGCATAAGCAAAATGCCTTGACAACAATTACCATAACAAACGTTTTTTAGGACATTGGAAAGGAAGATACTGAAATAGCTCTGCAGATGAGTAGCAACAAGTGAGATGAATATGAACCATCCTAACAGAAAACACACATTATGTGCTTGAAAGTGTACTTAAGGAGAAGGGTGAATGCCCTCCTACTGGAGGTAGATAAAGCAAGAGCCAATAAATTAGCCTTAAACTTGAACTTACGGTTCATCATCTAAATGGAGATACTAGAGATGAGTTAAAAGCTTACTCTGGATGGAGAAGATTGAATCATCTTCTCCCAACCTGAATATTACCACAGTTTGCTTTTGCAGATAGGATTAGCTAGAAATATAAAGTAGGGGAAGAAAAGGAAGGAGAACAGGGCCCTGCAAATCCTCCAGAAGGAATGGAGAGACAACACCACAGTCCTTCGTAGTTTTGTGAACTTCAGTCAGCAGCAAAATTTTTTTGCACATTACAGAGTTTTCTGAAATCAGAAAAAACAGCCCTAAAGAACAAAGAAATGAGCAAACGCTTCACAGCAGGGAACATCTGCATTTAAAGATTAGTTAAAGTCCCTCCATAAGGTGACACGCTTGTGTAAAATTTTAACCCCTTCCAAACTGTCTTTTTTCCTAGCTAGGAGAGCAAGGAGCTGGGAACTTTGTGGATTCAGGCAGCAGGTCCAGTTAAAGCAGCTGGCTGGGGAGGGGGCTGGATTCCTCCTCCTTTAGTGCTTGAGGTGGCCCCGTCCCCACCAGCCTGCAAGATCTGCTCCCAAATCATGGGCACGTCCCTATAGAACACCAAAACAGGGAAACATTGACAGAGCTGCATCCATAGAATAAAATATCAACACTTGGGCACATTTTTTAATTTTGGCTGCATGCAGGCATTTGTACTTCTGTCCCAGAATTCTGCAGGCTCTGCCCAGCAGGAGCAGAGGTGTCTGCTTGCCATTTGCCTTTCCTTGCAGAGCTGCACTCCAACAACTCTGGCACAGCTGGGGATGGCAGAGATTCACTAGCACAGTGTTATATAAATCTGGTGTTCCTATGGCTTGTGAGGATCATTGAGGTGTTCTTTAAAACTGCCATCACATTATATTTATAGGTGACACAGAAAGCATTTTATCTCCAACATAAGCATATTGCATATTAAATGGTAGCTAAGGCAACAGGTGGTACAGAGATCATATATATGGGTGTCATTGTATTCACAAGCAGCACACTGACTTAAAAAATGCAATTTACCACTCAAAAAGAAAAGAATTAAACCACTCTATATTCACTTCTGTTCCACTGCCCAGTACCACAGATTAATTTACAACATTTTAAGTTAATTGATGAATGTGACATGAAATCCTTCCTTTTAGCTGCTGCTCTGATGAGACAATTAACATTAAATGAAGATGTAGGTAAATCCCTCCATTTTTCCCTTGGCTTTCTGCAGAGACTGAAGGCAGCAGAAGCCCAGTATGAAAAGAGCTGCCATGTGACTCAGTCCCCTTCAAGCTGTCCTCACAAAACAAAGAGGGAGGAATGCTAAACAAATGAATCACAAGCCATTGCTGCAAAACATCCCGACTTTCTAGCAACTGCCAAGGCTGGGAGCAGCTCTCTCTGTCTTGTCAATCTGAGTGACAGCCCTGGATAAAGGGCCACCTCATTACAAGATTAGTAACACGAAGACTGTGTTTCAAACCCCACCATCTGAATTATGATTGCTGACTGTGTAAGGAGGCAGAAACGGAAGCAAATCCACAAGGAAACAAAGCACCATTTGGGAAATGTTTTTTCCTATTCATGTTGATTGCAAGTGAACTCTTCCCGGGCTGTGAACAACTGGCAGTGCTTTAGCATTCAGTACATGGCCTGATTTTTATCATAAAAACTAGTCTTTGCCTTCAGCTGGCTGTCAGATTTGCCAAGCTGGTGGAATTCTGGCAACATTTGTGCTGTTTAATGTCTCAGCATGTTGTATCTTGGACACAGCCCTCTGTAAAAATACCTAATTATAAATATTCATATTAGTTATCCTTTTTGCATGACACAGTAAAGAGAGGGGAAACAGATTCTTTCCAAATTGACTGTATAAGCAGAGGACAACAACATCTCAGGGTCAATATCCACAACCAAAGCCTTTCATTAAACCACGGGATTTCCTTCAGTGGAATTCCAGAGGCCTCCCTCACACAATGGGTGTGTGACAGCTTTGCCAAAGGGTCACCTGGCACAGAAAACATTGCAGACCAGGATTTCCAGAGCTCCCTCCAAAGCACGAGGGGATGCTGCTGTCAGTTGTTGCTGAACACTAGAGGGGCTGCATTTTTAAGTGGCATCGCCACATCGTTGATCAGGTGATACTCTGTTTTCAGAGTAATAACTTCTTCACTTCAAAATGGTCTCCTTGGGCGAAGAAATGCTTCAGACAGAATATATCCACTCTTAAAGGAGATTAGGAAAGGGAATGCATCAGTACAGTGAATGTGCAGTCCTTTGCAGATATGTTTTTAATACAAAGTCATGGGTGTACACAGGAGACTCAGAAAGAGAGTTAAAAACTTCTTTTACTTTTTAAAATATTAAATCCATGATGAATATACTGTTTAAAATAGAACTGATTCACAGGGAGAAAGGAAGTACTTAATGACTTGCTCATGCTTAAGGACTCTTAAAAACAAGTATCTGTTACTCATGCATTTGAAGGATTTGCTACTCCTGAGCTACTGATTTGAAAAGCTTTTGACACAGCAAGATGAAGACACATCCCCAAGGGCTGCCATGGAAGCTGAAAGCCTCTGTGCTCTCAAACACTTTTCCTTTCATTGAAGTACAGAAAGATTAGCATGAGGAGGAAAAAGAAATAAAAACTTGATTGCTTTGGTTCTGGAGATGAGGTGAAAGTGAGGTTTTCTGGCCACAAGAACCAACGACCCCCAAACTGTCACGTCAAGAAGAACCGGTGGTTGAATTTGAGACCACCAGGCCCTCAGCTGCACCTCTCCTACTGCAATTTTTACTGATTAATTTTTGGCCTGATATTACAGCCCTAATAGCATTGAATCAGAGAGGAAAAAGCAGAAAGAAGACAAAGTAGTACTAGTCACCCATCCTTATGAATGAATCGTGCAGTACAAAATTCTTACAAAGGAACACCTGGTTTATCAAAGCTTGGCCAAAAGGAACTGTTGGCTCTGGCTGCAGGAGCAGGACCTGTCAATGAAGCAACAGAAGCCTCCCTCTGCACCATTTTTACTGCTCTTTGCTGTAACAAGAAAATTTTCCTCCCTCAACAGCTTTTCCTGGTGTTTTACATTCACAGAAATCCTATGAATATCTATTTTCCAGAGGAGGGTTCTGGGCACAGCAACACAAGCTCAGGCAGCATCATGGACACAGGGATACACAGGGAGAAGGAAAAGGCAGTGCTGCAGCAACAGGAAAAACTGAAACCAGCAATAAACCCCCCACCCAACCCCAAACCCTCAAATGATCTTTTCTGCAGCTTTCTTTCACAAACTAACCCCCAAACTTGCACTGGGATTACAATTTGAATTTCAACCCACTCCCCCACCAGGCTCCTTTGCTGTTTGCCGAGTTTTATTAGAACCATCTGTGAGATCCTTCCCTTCCAGCTTCTTGTGTCTGTTAATCTGGCAGCTGCACTTTCTCATCTATTCAAAAATCTTTGTTTCAAAGTTGTTGAGACAGAAGGTCTTTGACAGGCTAAAAATTATCTTGAAAATCAATGCAGAAACCACATCGTATTCTGTGCTTCACAGATTAAAGGGGAAGAATGGAAGTTGGAGAATATATATATCTTTAATGGGAAGATAAATGAAGGTTTTGGGGATCAAGGAAAATTTTACCAATGCAATTTATCTGACAAAAGCCACAATTTACTGAAGTACTGCAAATTGCCACTGCAGAAGAGTTTCAGGTTCATCATTATCACAGACTGACAGAAGCAGAAGAAATGCAGAGAAGTATTTCCTTACAGCAGCTCTTGGCAAAAGGTAA